TGATTTTTCGTCAATGAATTTACAGCTATTTTGCTATAAATCTGTGGCCGCTTAGTTGCATTTATGGTCTCACTTTTGGGAAATAATTTTCCCAACAACCATGACTTATTGAGTTTTGTTTTTTGGAACATAAATTGCATTTTATAACAGATTACAGATTTTTATTTAATAACAACATTTTTTAGTATATTATCGTTACTTTTCAAACACCAAAATAATGGATTTTCTTCGTGATCCCCGCCGAAAGTCATAGATAAAAAGAAAAAGTCGGCATTAATTTTATGCATTTCATGTGAAAAAAATAAGAAGTGAGACTATTATAATGTTTTTAATTTATTTATGATTTTAAAACATCCACAATTATAATAAATATTCACTTAGACAAGAAAAACAAATTCTTGAGTGTTATTTTTATAATAATTAAGCAAAATCTAAAATAATAATTACTTTAAACAAAAATGAAGGAAGCTTTAATTATATTTACAACATAATGTATACATTTACTTCTTTTATAATTGAAGATTATTTACTTTTAACTGATATAGTATGCCAACTCTCTTAACGACAGCAGATCAAAATCAAATCAAAGCATTCAAAAGGAAGGTGCTGAGAAAGATTTATGGTCTCATCCGCCTGAACCACGAAGTGTTTCATCGGCTATTGCAACTTTGTAACGGTGAAGATACTGTAAAGTTCGCAAAGTCGCAAAGCTTGAGATGGATCGGACACGTCATCAGAATGCTGGATGATAGATCACAAAAGCGATCTAACCCGTATAACGACCGCAGCATAAGATGACTCGACAACGCGACCGATTACATAAAAAAATAGGTATCCAAAATTAGAGGTCATGCAATGCAGAATGAAAAAAGCTGGTTGAAGCAATTAAAGGTTACTCCGCGCTATAACGCTGATGATGATGATGCAAACTTTCTTAACAGATACCCTTCTAGGAACAACTCAAACTTTTTGATAGGATATCCACTTACAAAGATTGACTGAAGATGAGTACAAGAGAAAACTTTTCTTCAACTTATTATTTTTATTGAATTCCTGAATGTTCACTATATTGTTTAGAAACTCACGAATTTAAACATCAATTTTCGTTGTTATAGTTCCATAGTATTCTACCATTCTATGCATATAAAAATTAGTTTCGTTCGTCAAAAATTGACCAACATTTTCTCTAACCTCTCACAACACTATATTTATTTTAACGCCCCTCCTTTTATATCTTCACATAATAAAATAATAGAACTAGTTCTTTAATATCACCCACCGAATCTAAGTCAAATCTGTAACATTTCCCTATTAATATCAAAACTTACTGTCATATTCCTAATAAATTCACAACAAACAAAAAAATTATTAATTTAATACACATAATCGCTTTCATTTAATATATAAGTCCATAGAGATATATTTAAATACAGATATAGGTATCTTGTAATAAATTAAATCGTTGAATAAACAATAAAAACCTTAATATAATTTATTAACATAGCAAAATATTCAATCGAAATTCATTCTTAAAGCAATTTTCATTTTCAATTGTAAATCTTGAGCGAAATGTACAACACTCCAGATTAATTTTGAACACTCTAGATATTTTGCCAGAGTAATAAGTTTACTCTAAAATTAACAGTTGTTTTATATGAGTTCACAAATAAAGTGTGATTTGATTCGATATATGTATTTAGGAGGAATATGAATTCCTGCAAACACATCTACAAATAGTTAGTTTACTCTAAAAATGTTGAATTGGACAATATAATTTGGCAGATTAAGAGTAAATCTACATTGAATCCAAAATTACCCATTGAAAATGCTATAAATATCAATTGCCAAACGAAAAAAGAAACAGAAGTAAATTGATTAAGCTACAGATATATTATACAATTAGTATATTTTTCATAGTATGTCAATACTTTTCCCAACAATATATTGATAGGACCTTACTATTGGATATGATATAGTACAAAATCATTTAAACGTACCGTAAAGGACATCTTGTAGTATTGGATGCTTCTGAAGTGATTTTCGATGACAGCACATGGCTGACAACAGCTCAACCATAAATTGACAGACGTATGGTCAGCCAAAAATTCAATTAATTAAAATAATATAAAAAGAATTTTTGTTGTTGTAGTTTACTACTTTTCGAAATCTTTATATGGACGTTCATTATCAAAGTGTCCAAAGGCTCTAGTTTGTTCGCACAAATATTCTCATTTGTATAAATGCACAAAAAAAAGTCTAGGAATCCAGTGATAAGAAAACGCATGACCTTGAGATTTCTCATGAGAGTTAGCCCTTGAACAAAATATAAAATAACACGTCCAAGAGGTTTCTCACATAATAAAGCCAAAACAAAAAGCTTTACATGACTTGTGTTACCGTTCTTTTGAACCAGTATCTCAGCTATCCAATCTTCTGAATATATCAGCTTGTCGAAAACCTCCTTAGCATTATATATTTTATTAATCAATGTTTTATACAATGTATCTGCCTTTTCTCTTCCTTCTATTCCAGGTCTGTCCGATTACATATGTAAATCTGATTGTAACTTATCCTTTCTATCTCATTCCTAGTTGAATTTGCATATGCTTTTAGGAGTTTCATTGTAATCTCTGCCTCGACCGTACTGCGTACCAGTACGCTTGCCTCGACCGCGAAAACTCTTATCAAAGTGTAGTTGGTGCAACATTTACTGCATCTGCATTGCATGCAGCAAATAAAATTGCGCAACAATAAAGCTTCAATATTGCTCGGGATGCTGTGAGTGTTGTTGTTGCTGTTGGTTTGCGCTTTGCTCTGGTACTCTGGTGTGTAATGCTGTGTAGTGCAGTGTAGTATCGTATAATGTTGTGCTGTTTTGCATTGATAGTATTGAACTTGTACTTTTTTACTTTTCTTAACAAATTGCTTCCGTACCTGCAGCAAAATTCTTTTTAAATTGCTTGCTTCAATGTTGCTGCATGTAATTTCCTAACAAACCTTGTTTTAGTTGTTTTTGTTTATTATTTGCTGATTGCTTACATTATTGGTAATTTTCATATTAAAATCAACTTACCACTTTATATCAAAAATATAATAAATTCTGCAAATACTGGTACATTTAATGTTATTGTGTGTAGAACATGTGTAAATTGAATTGAATTTTGAGATTTTAAACAATTTGAAGCTGGCACGGGAGCTAGTTAAAAACTTGTAAAGTGATGAAATATTATATCATTATATCACAGTTTGCATTTTAAACATAACTGCTTATTTATTAATAAATTTTTAATCTAATAATAACCCTTACTTTATTTGTGTCACAAGCTCAACATTTATTATCAAAAACTTTTTATGTTAATTTAACAAAATTTAATTAACTAAATAATATCTATAAAATTTTATTTAAAATGAAAGAAAACAGACTTCTACAAAGTTACATTTCAATTTAGATACTCTGTTATGATTTTCTGGTCCTTTGAAGCTCGAAGATATACCTTTTAGATTAGCTATAATATCGAAATTTGAATTACGGTAGTTCTCCAATCAAAACCGATCAACATGCCATCAACGGAAATCAAATAAAACAGCAGACCCTTCTCCGTTTCGATAAAGGCGCTCTGATCTCTGAATGGCATTATAAGTATTGCCAAAGGTTCTAAGTGATTCTAACCCTTGGGTTTTTAAATATACTTCAGCCTAAGTGTATCCTTTGGGATTGGCGCTATAACCTAACCTATTCTAGGCACTCTGACACTAGTTTGCGAATCCATGATCTAGAATTCTTATATCATGAACAAACCACTTTATTTTGAGGAATTCTGGGTAAATTCCACCTAGACAATATAATATTTTTCGAAAAATATAGAAAATATTTTTTTAGTATTTCCCTTCGCCAATCGTGCGCCCGTCACTATAAGATAGTTTTGTCATGCTATTTAGATTACGGTTGCGCTGGTACAATAGGTCTCTTCTGGCCGCAGTACCGGCT